CTATAGCATGGTTAAGTCGTTGCATACCTTCATATAAATATGTGTCTTATATAGATTGAAATTTTTTATTTTATTTTTTATATTGAATTGGATCCTAGTACCATATTTGAATTATATTATTAATGACATTATATCTAATATCTTTGTAAAGAATAATTAGATAGACAAGATACCTCTCTAATCCTTATGATCTTTTATTTATACTAGGTGCGAGTTGGTATGACGTTCTAAAGTTGTTTAGTTTGGAAGGATATTGCTTATGGCTAGAGATCTTCCATAGATGTTCCTTGCCTTTATAAGACATGCCACAAGAAAGATAGATTTGTTCTAAGATCTTGATATATCATTATATACTCTATACTTTGTTGCAAAAATTTTGTTCTATTATCTGAGATACATCTCCTCAAAAATCCATATTTACTTCTTGTGATACTTAAGATTATTGTTACAACTAAGACTACTCTTTCAAATGTTGTCTCTTTCTTTTAGTAATATTTTGCAACCAACACTTTAAATTTCACATAATTTTTGCATATTTGGCATTGGTATTTTTTTTTTAGATTACTAATTAGAAATTTATATTATATACTAAGAAAAACTTAGAAACAAAGCAATTTCAAATAAATTAAATAAAATACAATCTTTATATTTTTTTAAAAAATAATTAATTAATTAATTAATTTTGATATAAATTATAATGATTTCTATTCAAAATTATTATTCTATCTATATATTCTTTAATATTTGTATATCTCAAATATATTTTTATGATAAAAAAAATTAGAATAAATAATGAAACTTTTAAAAGAAAAAAGAAAATAATATTATAAATATCAAATAAATCAATTAAAATATAATTATTATCTTACAAAATTTTATCATTCTAACATGTTTTAGAATTTTCATATTACTATCCAAAAAATACTATTAGAATTAGTTGATGAAGATAAATAGTATTATTAATATTAGAAAATTTTAAAAGTTTAAAGTAATTATAAAGTCAAATATGGTAATTTCTTAAATATATATAATGATAAATAAATATAAGAAATACATAGTATTTTATATTGGTTATAGTAGGAATATTTGTTTTTAAAGCCAATGAAGTTGATATTAGTTAAAATTTGAAGAAAATAAAAAAAGAATACCTTCCATAAGTATATCAAGTTTTCAAATAAAATATCTATATTACAACACCAACAAAAGAAAAAAAATAAACACAAAAAAATAAAAAAATAAAAAAATAAAAAAAAAACAAAGATAAGGAAAACATTTAATTCTAAAGAAAAAAACAATAGAAATCATGTTATAACAAAGAACAAATCCAAGGATCAAAATTATAAAGATAGAGAATAATTTGAATAAAATTATTACCAAATTGAAATAAACTTTGAATGTTAAATGATTCTTAGTAAAATTTGATGCTAATGCTAGTATGTATAATTAAATACAAGATTTATAAGTTGGTTGGAGAGCCACAATTTAGTAGTTTTAAAAATTAATTAGTTGAAACTAGAGCTATATGAATAATTTTTATTATAAAATTGATATTAAATATATATATATATATATATATAACTTAGATTTTTTATTTTTTAAATGGAAAAAACTTTAAAAAATATTCAACTTAGAAATAATAAGGGGTTTAAAATTTTAAATTTTAAATTTAAGGGATTTAAAAAATAAAGGGGTTTAAAATTTTAAAGGGGTTTAAAAATTAAAATAAGGGGTTAAAAAAATAAAGGGATTTAAAATTTTATTTTTTTAAATTACTAATTGGTGTCATAAAAATTTAAAATATATAAAAATCTAACCTTTATATTAGAAAGATGATGATATAGTTTTGAATATTTTGGATTTAAATTTAGAGGAACGTTAAATAGATCTAACTTTTTATTAAATTTATTCATCTATCTTAACCACCATAAAAAATAAAAGTTACTTCTATATTTATTTTTCTACTATTGAATTTGCAATCAATAAAAATCAACTACATTTATCATGATTATCATATTTTTCATCAAAGGTGGGTCTATTTAGTAAAAACATAGGTCTACTTAATATTCTTATAAATTTATTATTAGAAATATTTATAATATTATAAAAATATACTCATAAAAGAAATAAATGATTATTTAAATATATATATATATATATATATATATCTTTCTTTGATAAAATGAATTTATCTTTTGTATCTTCTTAATATATATTAGTAGTATAGAATATTGTTTAACCAATTATTTCATAATTATACTCTAGTATGTTGAAAATATAATTTTTTTCTGAATAAATTTGTTAAAAATTATTAAAATATAACTTAAAACTATTAAATCTTAATTTTACAAAAAAACCATCTATAATATTTTTATATAGTTTTATTAAAGTTATTTAATAAGACCATGATGATTTTTTTTTAATTTTTAAAATACTTCAAAAAAACTATAAATAAAAATCATATTCTTTTTTATTGTAAAATTCATCTTCTTAAAAATGCAAGGAACAAAAATGACAATAGATTTGAGCAAAGAAGAAAAGTATGTAGTAATTACTCAGTTTGTAAGGCAACCAACTAGCAAAAGCAATTTGTCACAAATGTGAAACATCTTGCAACAAAAAGATAAAGCATCAATTACATATAATAAAAGAATAAATTCTTTGCTTTCATTAAAGTTTTAAAAACACTCAAAATTTATGTTCATATGAGAAATATATATATATATATATATATATATATCAAGTAATTAGAAAATAAATTCTATACACAAAATAATAAAAAATAGAATGCATTGTACTTAAGATATTTTCAAAAGCTTATTAACAAAAGTGTTTTTTATTTGAATTATTTATAAAAGTATTTCATTTTTATATCCATGTTTTTTACAAAATAAGAATTCAAATTTTCACATCTTTCAGCTTTAAGCTTGATTAATTTTAGTTCTATTATTTCTTTATTTTTATGTGTTCAATATTGTGAGCTATAAATCCTCCCTACTTTACTTTAAGAGAAAAAATAATTTCACAATAAGTTTGGAAGGTAGTAGAGATTAATTGTGAGATTACTTTAATGGTTGGTTAGTTAATCAATCAATTTATAATTATCTAGATAATGGCTTCCAAGCAATGGTTACCATTTAATTTAGAACAAGTGATTAAAAAAAAAAAAAAAAAAAAAAAAAAAAGAAGAATTACAAAGTATTAGCAAATGGAAGTAGTCGGATGAAAAAAAGATGGATAGAACAAGCAGTTGGATGAAAACAGGCATTTTTGGATGAAAACAATGTTGCTAGATGAAAACAGGCGCAGCTGAATGGAAACAATGTTTCTAGATGAAAACAGCTTAATCGGATGAAAATAGGCTCAGTTGAAATCGAAACAGCACAATTGGATGAAAATAGTGCTGCTAGATGGAAACCGTGCAGTTGGATGAAAACAACACAAAGGTAGAGCGGCAGCAGCCACTACCAAGGCAGAGCAACACCAGCAACAAAAAAAAACCTCTCAACTTCAAACCTTCATAACTTATTTCAATTCCAAATCTAATGATTCTTTCACTTCACCTTACTAATTCTCTTTTCCCTACACAATTGATATATCTAAACAAGAAAATAATCCTACTAACAATGAGCTCCAAGAGGACCAGCAAGGATATGGAACAAACAACTTATAACATAAATTTATAACAAATAAAAATACTACAATCCTTTGGTGCCTCAATAGGCCACTCTTACCAAGGGCTCAAACCAAAGGTAAGAGAGAGAGAACAAGGCTTTGAGAGGGCCTTATATACCCAAGCCTTGAAGCCATTTATCGATAATTATCATTGCCGGTAACTTACAAGTAAAAATTAATTTAAGAAACTTTCTACTAGCTAATCCATGCAAGTAGTACAACTTGTCATTAAGCAGTCAACCTACAATCCCCATGATCTCTAATCAATGCCTTTTATGGAAAGGACCAATGATTGGCATCCATTTGCCACAAGGTGATAAAAAATTGCCATGGATTTCAATCAATGCATAGGTTTATAATCCCTCATAACTAAATTAACCAAAAAATCTGCAAAATAATTTACTAACTTAGACATATTAATCTTTGGAAGAGATTCTCTAGAAAAGGACTTGATTTATTGTCGTGGGAGTAATGGTTGAAGAGTAGAATAGCTCTCCATTTTCTTTCTTCACTATCACTTGTGGCTTTAAGAGCAAAGTAATTCTCTATCTTCTTCCTTCACCATTACTTGTGGCTGTAAGAGTAGAGTAATTCTTCATCTTCTTCTTTCACCATCACTTGTGGCTTCAAGGGTGGAATAACTTTCTATCATTTTCTACCATACCTCAACTACAACTAACCTCATTTTTCCCAACAACCTCTAATTTCTCACAATTAACAAATAAATAACATTATATCTTGTCGAAACACCAAAAATTAAGTAAATAAAATTTTGGTGCATTATTTTGGGTTCACAAATATGTTAAAATTATGTATGTATTAGTGAGTTTTTAAGGATAATAATAATATTAAGATGAAATGTTTTAAAAGATATAAATTGATATTTTTTGATAAATTTTTACTTGACATGTTTTTAATGTTGTTGCATCTTTGTGATTTATAATTAGCCTTCATTATTTTTTAAATATCTCATGTTGAAACTTACATTGATTTTCAGAAATTTGAAAGTTAAAAAATTAACACTCATGTTGTGATTCTCTGAAATGATTTTAGTACAGTTTGTCACTGGCAAAGAGTTATTTTATCTCCTCACAAATTACTTGTAGATGAACTCTGAATTTGACATCGACCTTTCAATCCAGAATCATGTGCAACTTTATCAATAAATTAGAGTAATAAATGTATGTAATAACATCATTCTCAAAATAAACAATACACAAAAACCATATAATATCAATGATTTTTTCCGTGTTCTTTGAAAATAACTCATAAATCAACAAACTTACAAAAAACCTCAATCGTAAGTAGCAATGCTTCCAAAAAACCAATGATTGACAAGGTCACTTTTAATTTCCAAGATGTTTTAACAAAACAGAATACTCATGAAATCATGTACCAGGAACAACAATGACGTGGTAGTTCAACAGGGATCGTTTAACAGCTAAAATACCAATCTTAATACATGGATACATATCAAGAGTGGCAAAAGAATTTGAAACATTATGAACTGTCAGCATATGCAGCCAATCAATGATGAGTAATACTTTTACAAACCTCGTACAAACGAAGTTTACGTGAAGCACGCCGTTACTACCGGAATAGGGACGGGTCTCAAAGGAAGACGATTGAAAATGGCATGTCGAGGGTGGAATTGGCAACGTTTTGTGTCATCTGGGTGCAGACATGAGGACTACGCTATGGCGTCTCCGAGGAAAATCTCTCGAACCGGACCTTTGAACCAGTGTCGTGCGTCCACCATCCACCATCCCATGACAGCGGCCAGAACAACACCCAGGGCTACTGGAGCATAATTGAAGGTTTCTAGTTTGATGGGGTACGATGTGGGAAGCAGAAAGATCACGCATGTGTAGCATATCCATAAGAAGGCAACCAAGCAGATCCACCGACTTGCTCCACCAAGATGGAAAGGTCCCCGCTTGAAGTTCTCCGACTTAATCACCATGCGTGCGAAAATGGGTACTGCGTATCCACCAACCCAACCTATCGTACATATGGACGTGATTGCTGTGAAGACCACATCAAGCTTCAAAATCGGAAGGCCCAGAATAATTGCAAATGCACAAGAGAACCAGACTGCATTCACCGGAACCTGAACTCTACGATCTACTTTACGCAGTACTCTGGAGCCAGGTACCCCTCCATCCCGAGACAATGCGTACACCTGCCAACACAATCATGAAGCTTGTCATGTACAATGTCATCACAACTCTAAACCCATCCACTACCAACCAGGCGCCCCAAAATTCTTCGATAATTCTACATTCATAACTCGTGCATCAACAATGCTATTCCCTGTTGATCCGTCCCGTTCGGGATAGCTGTATCCTGGTTAAGTTAACTCACAACTCGAGCAGCACTGGTAGTTATAGAAAGGCCGGCGAAGAAGAAAGACCCCCAGATTACAACCAACAGTATAATAGCTCCTGTGCCGCTTTGATATCGCCCATAAAATGCGTCGTACAATATTTGGGCAGGGACAAATCGACCTGCTGTTTCGTTTGTGGGGTCGTACAAATAAGCCGGATCCTGAAAAAGTACCATCTCAAGCGCAGTTATGCGTATTGATTTTCGAGATGATTATTGACTGATCCCACATGCACCAGGAGCTGCTATTCGATGAGAGTTAAATGTTCAAAAAGACCTTTATAATAGGACAGTTTTTGGGGCTATCACAAGTGAAATTCCGCGTACCTGTATACTAAAAATAAGAGCCAGGATAAAGGCCCAACCAAAGACTGAAATCATCCCTATGCTTGAAAGAATTGCGAGAGGCCCGTTTTTGTCCGCATTTTTAGTCTCCTCGGTCAAATGTGCGGCGGCATCATACCCGTAAAGAGAGTATTGACTCACAAGCCAAGATAACAGAACACTGTACACAGGACTTGTGATGCCTGTTGCATCCGATGAAATCTCCAGCTTTGTGAAGACGTATGAAGCAGATTGAGTGCTGGTCGCCACCAAGGGCAGCAAAACGACGATTAGAGTTCCTCCCACAACCTGCGACGAAGTACTAACTGTTGGTTGCTGTCTTGAATTTAAACAGGCTACTTCACTCATGAACACAAATTCGTAACGCAGATGAAAGCATACATGTTGACCATGGTCGAAAAGCGTGCAAGGTCGGAACATATCGACCACGAACCCAAATTCACAGCAGACATGTGAAGGAAAAAAATCGCCAACTCTACCGCAGAGATAATACAAAAAACGTGAAATAGTTTCGGCAACAAACCTGCCACCACATTGAAACGATGTCAATGAGAGCAATCAAATTCAAAGCAAAACTATTGAGCACAGCCCATATGAGACAGAGGCCGATGTAAATTGCAAGAAATACACTTCTGGGTGCCAAATATCCTCCATTCTTGTTTGTCCCAGTCGACAGCAGAATGATGTTCTGCAAGGTTTGAGTTCCTGCATATGCCTGCACAACAATGTTCACACTTCTTATTTTGCTCACTGTTTATTCCGAGAATCCACAACCTGACTTTGTGGCCAATGAGCAAATTGTGTACGCTGAACTATATGATCCCAACGAAACAATGTGGACCAAACCACACCTTATTTACTGTCTCATCCACACAAGTCTGACCATCCGATCTCACACGATTCACACAACCATTCATCGTTGCACATCGGCGACTACCTGGGTACCGATGCCCGCAACTAGACCAATTGTTTCAAGCCAGGCACAGATCCATGATGCTAATGGTCCCCATTTAGGCCCAGCCAAATGAGCCGCCCAAAAGTACAGTGATCCTGTAGTCTGGATAAATCAAAACCAAGTCAGTACTCACAAGAATCCCGCATTAAGTTTGGCACAGGTGTTGTGCGAACCAAGAGCGGGTAATAATTCCTGGACAAAATAGTGATTCAGCGCAGCATTCTATGTCCACAAGGACTACTGAAGCCTTCCATTCCTACTAAGCAGCGCAACCTAATGGTCACTGGTAGTGTTTTCTTGTCATCAGTCTTATCTTGTATGCTAAGGGCATATTAGCTCTGTTGAAGAGGAGCTATCTATGCACTACGTTCGACAAATTCTCACAAATGGATGTGATAATATCGAAACTAAATTTCGACACTCAATGAAATGGAAAATTCTCGTGTAATTTCACCAGAAGCTACAAAAAAATGTTGGCCCATGGATCCAAACAAGAACTCAAACTTGAACATATATGTGATATTCATTAGTTCAGGTATGAAAACCTACCGGGAAACTGCTGCAGATTTCTGCCCTGTGCAACAGTCAGCGCAATATGGAGTCATTTTACGAAAAGAGGTGATCGAAGCAGAGAATTTATAAAAAAATTGCCATTCACCATGAGTAACATAATTAGAATCAATAGGTTAAATACTGAGTCGAATCGTACAATAATAGAAGAACGAAATCACTCGTTCAGAAATTTAGAAAAACTCTTACATTGCAAAACCCACGAACCACGTGAAGAAAGTAACCACCACCCAACCCCACACGACTCCAGCTGGCCCTGCGTACAGGAAACTGTAGCCGAAGAGGGGAACTATTCCAGTGAACAACGACATGGTCGAAAACGCTATCGCCAAGCATTTGAAAAGTGTCTTCACACCCAATATTTACGATTCCCCAGCATATTTTAGATAGACCAATTATCATTAATTCTGTCATAAGGGAGCTGCTTTAAAATGCAAAACTTTCTCCTTGGGCGACGGAAGAAAATGAGCAGAGGTTCAAACTAACTAGGTATACTCACCATTTCACGACGAAGCTCCTGCTTGTATCCAAGCTCGTTAAGACGACGCTCTCCAGAGTCCATTTTTATTCCAGCCCCTACAGGAGTGGACATCGTGGAATTCTTCTCAAGAGCAACATGATCTGAATCAAGTCTTGCAGGAGTTACGGTTTCACTTTTGTTGCCCATAGCTGCAAACAGCGGCTTCTTCTATTCGACAAACAGAAGGTGCCGCTTAAACAGCGTTCAACCGAGACTTGCAGATTCTCCTCAACATCCACCATAAACTGGTTTTCTGTCTCAAGTCAACCACTCGTCCCAGAAACCCTTTGATGATGAATATCAGGCATGAAAAGAAAGATTTTGACTTATCTAAAATTAAAATCAGGTAGATTTACAGAGAATGGTTTTTGTATGACTCTCAAATCCCTGTCTGCAGATATGCAAGAGCATATCTTTCTTGCAGAACTGTATCGTCAACAGTTTCTAAGGGTACAGCCCGTTCTAGAGAGTCTACGCATGCTTTGCTTGTTTTCCAGAATTATGCAAAGAGACAAGTTTTGTACATTCCATAAATCTCGCAGTTGTCACCATGACCATTCGAGGTGCAAAGTGAACCTGCAGAATGCTCAGCGACAAGTCAGGACTAAATGGAGACTGTGAGTTGCGAAAAAAAAAAAAAAAAAAAAAAAAAAAAACTCAATGTTGGAACAAGCCGAAAACACTAAAGACCACACCATGGAAACTATGCGGAAAGAAACCTACCCAAGACATGCCGAGACCAAGAAATGAAGGAGAAAGAAGAAAGGATTACCTGTAGCGATGGCGAAGAGAGAACTACAAAGAGAAGACGGGGAGGGAAGAGCATGAACACACAAGTTGAGATTTCAGTTCATTTTTTAGGGTAGCAGAGGGGAACGGAGCAGGGGAGAGTCGAAAGACCGTAGGGGAAAGCGGAGTTGAGGAAGGTTTGCGAGTCTCAAGAGAGCACAGGGAGCGAGGGAGGGAGGGACCGAAGGGGGCCAAAAGTAGACGTGCGTGGCAATAATGTCGAGAGTTTCCAAGCAGGGGCCATGGAGCGAAAAGTACAGCTGGGAATGCGGACTATAAACTTGAAGTTGCGATGCAGGTGCTGTGTGGACGGACATGGCGCCTACAAATCGGAGCAACCCAGCAACACTTCAAGGCACGGAATATAATATTCGGAACGTGACGGCAGCATAGTTGTCCACTCCCCTAGAATTCTGTCAGGCTCAGTCGCTCTCTCTTTCTCTCTTTCTGTCTTTCTCTTTCACCCAACGAGACACACCCATCCATCCACCCCTCGGTGCCACCACTTAGCTGGCTCCGGAGGGTTCGGTGGTGCTCGTGTTCCCACCATGCTGTCCTTGCCTTCTTTGTTCTACAGCTGATTGAAACAGGTGCTGCTGGTCTATTGTGCTTTTCTTACTCGTTCTTTCTTTCTATCATGATGCTGATGGTTCTGATGATGATGCTACTGCTGCTCCTTATAATATTATTACTGCATGTTGAAGTGATTCTCACATCTACGTTGTTCTGCAGTTAGATTCTGCCCACATACCAACTTTATCCCCTTTACTGACTCTGAGTGAAACAAAAAACAGAAAAAACAAAAACGAAGTGTGAAAGATTCTACAAGAGTGGTGAACTGCCCCTTTTCCAAGTAATCACTTCTAGTGCCGTGTACATACTAGCATTGAAGCCTTTACTTTGCTTTAGATATAACATATAAAACCAAGATAATGATGTGTAATAATAATCAACATGGTAATGAATTACTATTCATATGATCTAATCAAGAATTGCATACATGTCTTTATACATGAAATTCATCTAATTTTTGAAGAAATATTCTTTAAAACAAAATATAAGTACTTAATTGAAAAAAATCATATTATGTTTTTTTTATCTTTTATACATATATATTGAAGAAAAAGAACTATGAAGTCACAACACATAGCTTAAACCCTAAACCATGGCTTATTGCCATGTACTTTGCTTCCATTGTTGAACTTGCAATTGTTGGTATTTTCTTATAATTCTATGAAATAACTCCTATTGCAACAAAAAAAAAATCTTGTTGTTGACATCCTATCATTTGATAATCTCCAACCCAATCCATATTACAATAATCATATAAACTAATTTTATCACCTCCAAAGCACAATTTAAATTGCAAAGTGCCTTTTAAGTACTTCATGATTTTTTTCATGGTTGTTCAATGAATTAGTGCAACCTTTGATTTGTATTGGTTTACAACACTCATCACATATGCAAGATCCACCTTTTTATCTACCATTGTATACCGAAGTGAATGTCAGGGATATATATATTTATTTTAATATTTACCTATATGATTAAATAGAAATAGATAAAAGTAAATTTATTTCATAATATTTTTTAAGAAAGCTTTATAAAAGCTTCATATATACTATTTTGACTTTATATGTATTTGTAGTTGATTGATAGGTTAGAAACTTAGTCAACAAGTTAATCATATGTTTATAATTTGTGGAATAAATTAAATATGTGGGATATATATAAAAAAACTTGCCTTGCAAGTTAAGATATGTGTCTTACAAAGTCAACAAATTTTAGAGGTCTTATAGGATATCACCACATAGCTCTTAATTAAGAGTATATATGGAGGCAAAAATAAAGCTTTCTTCATTCTTATCAATGCCTTTCTAGTCTTTAGTCTTGTTTCAAGACTTTCTAGTCTTTTTATCTTTAGCAATAGCCATTTTAGTTTAATATCACATCATCTTTAAATGACTTTTTAATTCTTTTGAGTAACACAAGAGTGTATTAAGGATTTTTTTTTTTGAGTTTCATATCTTTAATAGTGAATCTACTATTGTCTTCAATGCAATAACTTGCATTTGACCTTCAACTTCAGCAAACTCTTCATTTGTGAGCTTCATCAACTTCAAATTGGCTCCCAAAGATAATCTAATAGGCTTACATTCCTCTAAGTTGAATTATTTTAATACTTCTTTAATATATTAGCTTTGGCTCATTATTATTGAAGATTAGTAAGATCTTTTTTAATTGCTACTATATATAGTTAAATCATAATAAGTTACTAATATTCATAAGATAACAAAAAATTAAAAGAAATTATTATGGTGGCGATTAGGATTTTAGGTGGCGGCTAGGTTAAGAGGTATTTAGGATTTAGTTAGATATAGCAAAGAAGGATAAATATGATTATAGATGAAGAATCTAACTATAAATAAAGATTGTTAGAAGTGAGAATCATCTTATTCTATACTTCATTTAGGTGCAATGTTAAAGATATAAATTGAAAGAAGATACATAAACTTGTGAAATCTGTGTCAAAAAAAAATTGACAAAATATAAGAAAGTATATATATTCAAAGAAGAACTGGAATGGCTATTATCAAAGACTACAAAACATAAGACTCTTAAACTAAACTAATAGCAAGAAAAAAATTGACAAAAGTAAAGAAGACCTCATTCTTGCCTCTATATATACTACTTAACTATTGATCTAATATCCATTGATAATCCATGATAGTGATAGCTATTGTTAAGGAAGAGTTTAGTTGTTCATTCACCTGTGATAGATTTTTTACATGGTACAAAATGTACCATCTTAATGAAACGATCTACAATCACAAATATAGAATTATATGAACTTGAAATTAGAAGATCCGTAATAAAATCCATACAAACAAAAGACCATGATTGCTTTGGTATGGGTAATAGTTGGAGGAGTCCATAAGGTTGATGATGAGAAGTTTTTGATCTTCAATAAATATCACATGTCTGCATAAATTTCTTAATAGCCTTCCACATTTGAGACCACCAAAAATCTCTAGATATAAATTTTAAAGTCTTATTATATCCAAAATATCCTAATGTAAAGAAATTGTGATGAGCTTCAAGAGCACGTAATTATACTTCTCCTTCTGGAACATATAAGCATCCTTCAAAATAGAGTAGATTCTCCTTAAACTCAAACTTGGAAGTATGTTGAGACTGAGAAGAATTATTTTTCATATCATGAACCAGAAGGTTTAAGGACATATTTACTTGGATCTGCTTGAGAATAGTCAAATCAACAATCAATATTGATTTCATTGCTCGAAAATGAAATTGTTCTAGCTTTAATAAAATTATCTTTAGTTGATCAAAAGCTACTTTTCTTTCTTTTGGTATAAGATAAGAATGTCTAGAGATGGCATCAAAAAAATCTTGTTATTTTTCTATCCGATAAGTGATATTGAATTTGAATCTTGACAAAGACATACTTTAATAAGTTTGGCAACAATTCAAAACATGAAATACTTGAGGTTTTTGTGATCTATATACATGGTGACTGGACTTAAAGTGCCTTCTAAATAATGATGCCATTCTGGAAAAGAATCCACGATTGCAAGTAGTTCCTTGTTGTGAATTTCATAATTAATCTCGGTTGCTGAAAATTTTCTTGAATGAAAAGCTACTAGATGAAGTTTGTCATCTGCTCCTATTTATGACAAGATTGCACCTAAAGCAAAGTTAGATGCATCTATGTCTATAAAAAATACTTTGAAGAAGTTTACATGATGTAAGATTGGTACAAAAGTAAAATCTTTTTTCAAAGCTTTAAATGATGCTTCTACTTCTTTACTCCACTCGAGCTTATCTTTACAAGTTAAGCATGTAAGTAGCACTGCAACTTGAAAAAAGTTCTTGATGAAGATCTAATAGTAATTGGAAAATTCCAAAAAATATTGTACATCTCTTATTATTTTTGTAATCTTTCAATCCATGATTGTGTGAATTTTTTTAAGATCCATCATTAAATAATTGTTTGAAATGATGTATCATAAGAAGTCAACTTAAGTAGTATCAAATACACACTTTTTTATCTTAGCATATAATCTTACATCTTTAAGTTTTTGTAACATACAACAAATATGAATTTCATATTTTTTTACATTCTTAGAATAGATTAAAATATCGTCTAAATAATAGACAACAAAATAATGTAAAAACTCATAAAAAATATCATTCACAAGATTTTGAAAAGTAGCTAGTACATTCGTGAGTCTAAAAGGCATGACATTATATTCAAAGTATCCATACATTGTTCAAAATATAGTATTCCATTCATCTCTTTCTTTAATGGATATCAGATTATATACTCCTCATAGATCTATTTTTATATAGATCTTAGCTTGATTTAATTCATCAAGAAATTTAGATATTAAAGGTAGAAAATATTTATTCTTAATAGCAATCTTGTTGAGTCTTCAATAATCTATACACATTTATGATGATCCGTCTTTTTTCTTTACAAATAAGATAAAAGCTGTAGTATGAAATTTTGAATGGCATATGAAATACTTGGCCAAATTTTCATGAATATACTTCTTGAGTTCAACCAACTCATTTTGTGATAAACTATAGATTCGACCAAATAAGAGGTGAGTTCCTGTCATGGACATACTCATTTAAGCCAATAATTACATATATAAATAAGTAGAAGTAAGTAAAAGTAGATAAAAGTAAGTTAATTCTATAGTATTTGGTATGAAAGCTTCCTAGAAGTTTCATAGATGCTCCTTTGACTTTATAGGTGTATTTAATTGACTTTTTGGATTAGAAATGTGGTCAAACAAGTTGGCCATGTACTACACATGTTGTTAGCTTGAAGACCAAGCTAATTATGTGGCCCATTTGTAGAAAAACTTGCATTATAAGTCAAGGCATGTGTCCTAGAAAGTCAACACATATTGGAGGTCCTATAAAATATTGCCATAGCCCCTAGTTAGATAGTATATATAGAGACAAGAGTGAAGCCTTCTTCACTCTTGTCAACTCTTTTCTTGCATCTAGTTTAGTTTCAAGGGTCTCTATTTTTCTTGGCTTTTGGCAATAGCCATTCCAGTTTCTTTGTTAATATATATATATATATATATATATAAAGTTATTTTTATTTTGTCATCTTTCTTTGAAAGAAGTCTCACTTTTTTATTTATCTTTATCATATTCTTGTCCTTGACAGATTGACAAGATTATACTTATAATATCATAGCTT